TAACATTTTTTAAATAAAATTTTTAAAATAAAAATAAAAAAATTTTTTTATTATAGCAAAATAAAATCCGGGTTGGCAGGTTATTTAAAATTATATGATATGAAAACCAGAAAATTTACTTTGCTTCGCCTAAGTTATATTCGAAAATTTATTTTAAAATTATTATTACTTACTAGTTGCAATATAAGAGTAAACCCTGCAATTATTTGCTATCATTGAAGAAAAAAAATTTATTGCTTCAATATGGTATTTTGCTACTACTGCACCTTGATGTTTGCAAAACACTCCTGATAAAACTACAAGTTTCAATCATACTACTAACAATATAAGAAAGGTTTGCTGTTTTTTCACTTAGAATCTGATACTCATCATTATTAGATAATTTTTTAATCAGATCTATATTAATATTTTTCCAACCCAGGCAAAAAAACCTTTTTGCAATTTTTATATGACCCGCATAATTATACACAAACCCCAATAACCTGCATTCATAAAACCTTTTCATATTTTCTACAATAAATCGAAAAACCTGTACTAGATTAAATACTTAAGTCCTTCCAAAAATTATATTCTTAAGAAGCCCAAAGCTATGCTCTATATAATTATTAATATAATTGCCATACAATAAAAGACTAGATCGAAAAGAATATTGTTGATAGTTCCAAAGAACTTCTAAATGCTTTGTGAGTAATAGATATTGCTAATAATCATTTTTTAACTTTTGATAATAGTTATCCATTTTAGTTATCATTTGGGTATAAAGAATTTTTTATTTTACTCATAATTAAAACATGATGCTTATGTTTAGCATTATAGAGCCATCACCAAAATGCTTAAAAAAAGTGAAATATGCATAAAAGTTGATTTAATTGTGGCCAAGAAAACTTCAAAGCATTTTGTTCTACAGCTGAATCATCTGTTAAAAAAGTTTGTGGTTCTACATTACAGCTACAACCAAAAAATGCATGCTTAGATAAAATAGTTTTTAAAAAAGTTATTGCCTTTTTAATAGTAATTTCATGTTTATCAGATGTTATGAATAAACCTAAAGGTAAAGCACCCACAATACAACTAGTATAAAAAAGAGTAATTGAAGTATTCAAATGTTCAAATGATATAGAAGCATTGACGTAACAAATTTCACCTACTTGTATAATTTGTTTATATACTCTACTTATCAGTTCCATGATAGGTCAAAGAATAAATAACTTTCCAATTTAAAAATCATATTCTTGTAAAACAGCTTGATTATGACCAGAAGCATTATAATTTGCAACTTCCTTATTTAAACGTTAAAACATTGATACCTCATTTCTTTTACCGAGTTGAGAATTACAATAGCAAGTAAAAAGATTTTTAATATAATCATAATCTGGATTAACAGATTGATTAGCAAGAATTTTAATAAGTTCATCATTTGACAAAGTAAAAACATGAAGTTCATCTTGATAAGTATAGAGTGCAGTTGCTGGAGAATGACTATTATTAAATAATTGTATGTATTGTATTTTAAAAATGT